CCACCATGAGCAAGACCTTGGAGTCAGCGGCAAGGAAAAACTACACAATATATACATACAACGTGCATACAACATACAACGTACATAAATACAATGTACATACAATGTACATACAACATACAACGTACATACATGCAATATACATGCAACAACCATACAATCTACAATGTAAATAGTATTAATAATGATTAACAATCAGGTGAACTCACCTTTGACGATCTGTCTGGCACAGGTGTCGTACACCTGAACCTGTTCAGTGTTTGGAGGAAGGACTCTGTCAAACACATACGGCTTCCCCTGAAACACAGGAAGGACCCCGTCAAAATAAAGGTCTCCTTATAGCTTTAAGGTCGTTAAAATTCTCTTTTCCCACTCCAACAAAATTAAATATATATACATACATATATATTCTGTAAATGTAAACCCGGGTGGCAGCAATACAATTCAATACAGTTTTATTAACAGAATACAGCATATAACAGAAATGATCTTAGGACACTTTTCAAATAGAGCAGGTCTAGACTGTACCACCTTTCAGTGGACAGTGCACTCCTGATTTATTGATCATTGAATTAGTTATTGAATAGTTTTATTTCTCATGTATTTCTGCTTTTCTTGTAAAACAATATGTTTTGTACCGTTGAACTGTTCTATAACAACAGGTTCAGTGATTATCAATAAAGGTTTTTACATTTTGGGTTCCTGGCTGTGTTTTAATTTGTTAAACTAACTTCAGTCAGTCTGAGTTTGTGCTGACATAAAAGGAAACTATTTGTGTGTGTGTGTGTATGTGTCTGACATTTAGCTGATCTAAGGACTGTTTGATGTTTTTATCAACATTCACACAGACATTCAGAACAGGTCTCACTGAATATTAAGATGGAATAATAATAATATTTATATCATTATTTTCATTATCACTCATCAATATATTCCATCCAACAACCAACGAGATACAGTTTATCCTCAAAAAAAAGAAGAAAATGCAATAAATCCTTTGAGAGCAGAAACATCCACAAACACACTGAATACAACTGATTATTATTAATTATTGATTCTACTTTCATTATTTATATTGATTTATTTGTAATAATTGTGTTGATCAATGCAGCTTCCAACAAGTCATCAGTTAACCAGTCCCTCCAGGAATCTGCAATGTTGCAACAATTAATGCATTCGTTGTAGCTTCCTGTTTGAAACAGTCAGTGGGGGGGGTACCACCATGAGCAAGCACTTGGCGACGGGGGCAAGGAAAAACTGCCTTTTTGGATGGATTGATTACTTCTAATACATTTTATTTCTATAAATATTTCTACCATGCTCTCTTAACAATTCTCAAGTCCTCAGACCAGAACCCGCTTTAAGACCAGACAGGATTAGGACTTTACTGGTTCTATGTTCTTAATACTGAACATTCTGCTGCTCTTTGTGTTCTGTGATCAATAATATATTTAATGATATCATTATAAAGAGATTATATTATCAATATAGTGTATTGAATAATGGATCAATAATCTGTAACAGCAACCAGCAGTTGATGGACAGACAAACATTCATCCTCAGTCTGATGGATTCTCTCATCTCTTAATAAGATGCCTGTTGTCATGGTAACTACATCCCACTGGGAGACTGAACCAATCAGAGGAAAGAAAGATGATTACAGACACACACACACACACACACACACACACAGAGACACACACACACTCCTTTTATATTAGCACAAACTTAGACTGACTGAAGTTTGTCAAATCTATATTTATTGATTGATATTTATCATTGAGAAAATTTTTTTAATATTCATTGTTTAACTTTAATATTTAGGTAAGAGATTTATCTTTACTGTATTTAAATAATAACAACAACAACAACAACAATAATAATAATGCACTTAAAGAGCCATAACGCTTCAAGGCAGAATTGAATTGCAACGAAGTTTGGGAATATTGTACATAAAGCCACATTGCATGTGTGTGTAAGATTTCATACAATTCTACCGACAGTAGCTCCACAATAATACTAAGTTACAGAGGACAGAGGTCAGTATACAGGTCAGAGGTCTGTACTGTTTATTTGATTAACATTAGTTTGATTCAATAGTAAGAATAATAAGATTATTAATATTAACTATATTTCGTACATTTTAGTGAAGTCCAATAATTTAACAGTATGTGTCTTTCACAGACAGTTAATAGAAATTTGATTGAGTCAATCTGACAATAATACTAAGTTTCAGACATCAGTGCTGTAGATACAGGTCAGAGGTCAGTGTTGTACATACAGGACAGAGGTCAATGCTGCACATACAGGGCATAGCTCAGTGCTGCAACATTGCTGCAAGCAATCACACATTGTTATATTCCGTCTTTTGCTTATTATTCTTTTTCTTCTTCTTCTTCCATACGTTTCTTGTGAGCGGCGGTAGCAGCAGATGCAGCAATCACATGCATTCATAAGAAAATGTAAATATTGAGTTTATTTTGTCTTTATCAAATTAAAAGACAAATTAAAAAACAAAGTTTAAATTGGCCCTGAAACAAACATCAACGTTTATGTTGAGTTAATAACGTCTCGTTAAAGAGAAACAGGCTGGAGCAACTCTCCTCATTATATTTATTAGTCTGTCCCATTAAGTATTATCCCGTCTCATTATATGTATTAGTGTGGTTCAGTATGTTTTATTAGTCAGTCTCATATATTTATTAGTCTGTCTCATTATATTTTAACTGGAAGCATACGAGGAGGGAAACCGGGACAGTTCCACGAGGACAAAGACGATGTTCACATTTCAGGTTTTAGGACAAACTGGACAACTCGCTTTAAATTATTCTATTATGATTACTATTATTATTATTATCAAACCTCTGATTAAATGTAGTTTCTTTAAATTCAGTTTAAATAAAAAGAACATATGATGGTCAGTCTTCATCAGGAACTTCAATCAATATCGTTTCTTCTTCAGCTGCTCTGTGTCGTCTCAACAACCCTAACCCCCAACTGACCCCCAACTGACCCCCGACCCCTCCACCAGCTTCACCTCCCCCACCTCAGCAGGTCTCCACAATGAGACAATTTTAAGGAGTTGTGCTGTTAACGCAGAGACACCCTACGGTCGGACTATTTATTTAATAACGTATAACGTATATTAAAGTACTAATTAATTCATTGTGTATTTAATACAACAAAAATCATTGATGTTTATATTATAATAGCATGAGCAAAAAATGCAGAAGTTGAACCATTAAAAGCTTTAAATATATTTGTATTAACGGTGATAAAATAAAACCTGCTGATGTCCTCAGAGCTTTATTTTGAAAGTAACCAGATATTTGTTATCAATAATAATGCTAGATAATAATCAACCGTCACAATAACATGAATTTACTGTACAATCTGTGTTTATTTTAATATTGATAATCTATTGATTACCCCTGACTCCCAGAAGAGAAATAATCCATTATTGATGGACCTAACCCTTCAGCTTTAAAATATAAATATCTTTTGATAAAAACACGTTTTATTTTCTGTTTGTTGCTGATTTCATTTCATTTAATTTCATATTTGACAGGCAGCTTCCGGTGTGTTTCTATTGTTGCAGACAGACAGACAGACGGACGGACGGAGGGTGTGTCTGCCGGTAAATTAACCACGGACAGACAGACAGACAGACGCTCGGTACCGGACTCACCGCGACCACCACCGTGTCCTCTCCGTTGAATTTGGGAATGAATTTGTCTCCGCGGCCCCGCTCCGCGTCGTTCAGCGGCCTGAAGCGACACATCACCTTCACCCCGCACACCCCGCACTCCACCGCGTCCACCATCACCGACACCGTCCGGGAAACACCGCACACACCGCACAGAGCACACAGACCGCACACACCGCACAGACCACACAGAATCGGACCCGGACAGACACAGATTTAGATCCCAACGGTTCAGAACCAGGTCTCCGGTGAGGATGCGGATTCCAGTCTGATCACCGTCTTTGAACACTCCACCTCACACAGGTCCACCCTGGACCACCGAGCCGCAGAGAACTCTGGGAAACCGAGTCCTACTTCCTCTTTGCATGGAGATAAACTGATCGATTTGTTTAATGACTGATTGATTGATTGATTGTTCTGTGTCACATGAAGGAGAAGAAAACAAAAAGGGGCGATGGTTACATTTTTATAATAATATAATAATGTAATTGTATTAATATAATAATGTATTAATATAATAATTTAATAATATAATAATGTATTAATATAATATAATCATGTATTAATAAAATATGATTTTAATGTAATATACTTAAATACTAATGTAATGATTTTATAATATAAGAATGTAATAAGTTAATAATATATCATAATGCGATAACTACAAGAACATAAACACAATGGTGTCACAGCTGCTGTTTTCCCATTAGATGTTCTTTAATAATAATAGTGATAATTATAATGATAAAAATGGCTGACTAGGGTTTAGTCCCAGGAATGAATTTGGTACATTTGGAACCTGAACGTTTATCGAGACATTTTTCCATAAAACGTTTAAAACTTGTGACGTTTCCTGAGTTCTCGAGCAGTTTTATCAAACATTGAATTCATCATAAATATAAAGACCGATATATTAATATAATATTTAGTAATATTTAGACCTATCACACAGAATATTTGGTCTCATTTGTTGATGAACAGCAGCAAAGGAACAAGTACTCTGATCTGTTACTTCAGTAAATTACATATTAGATATTTCTTTGTATGTTTGTTCATACAACAGTAACAATATATTCCTTGTAAATATAGTTGTTAATTATAGTTGTATATTTTAGTGCTACTTTATTAGTTATATTTCAATGTGTGTGTGTACATGCGCATTTTATTGTGTAATATTGTCTTAATAAATACAAATATAATTAAAGCTGCAAGCAGCGTTGGCGCCGTCGCACTCAACGCAACTCGGGGCGTGCTGCGGCCGCGTCACGTGGCCGTCGTTACACTGCGGACCCACAACATGAAAATTTTCAAGTAAATCTGACAATGGTCGCTATGCAGCGCTTACTTCCTGTTGACGGTAGGTGGCGCTATCATATATCCGAATATCGTCATGTGACGTGTTGAAGGGCGGGATGTTATCAAACTGTGAAGTTTCATTGATTGGACCATGTACAGGAAAAGTTGTTGAGGAACGTGTTCATGTACTGAAAGAGTATGAAAGTACTTAGTTTGTTTTAAGCAATTTCGG